GTCAGTGTACGCTACGCCCTCAATGTACACCAGTGGGTGTACAATGTACACTCCAATTACATTTCTCTTCGCTTTAGAACTGTTAATAAACACTTAATGTAATAAGGTAAGTGCTAGTGCTTATTTCTCATGAATTTCAAGCACAGTACAGCATAATATTGAACATTTACACACACGCTATCTACCCATCACCAGGAAGATATCTTTCCCTAATGGAGGAGCACATATACATATAATTAGATCGTAAACATTATCTTTCCAATTACTGCACTAATATGTAAATGAATGCACACATCTTGAGGTGGCGTGCTCATCTTGGTGTGTACAGTCTGCACAATAATGTTTATAGTTGGGCAATTGAACGTACAAAGTTGGACTCGTGTGTACACAAATGTTCAACATTACATGCTTAAAGGGGCCACTTGTAAATTTTCTTAATGCTATGAGATATGAAAGTCTAATTAAATGTTATGGTTGAATTTGGTCATCTTAATTACTCATGGAAAGTAGTTATTTGAGAGTGAATATGTAAAGCGTGTATGGGTGTGAACTATGGGACTAAGACAAGGCTCAACTTGGAAGGTTTGATTGTGAATGGAGGTAATGTTCAAGACGTATCTTGGGGTGACCCTCCTCGCGCCCTGCCGTGATGGCCACACCCGCACTACAGGAAGTCGGTCACGAAGCAAGTCTATCCGAGCAACAGCCTGTTGGACCAAGTTATCACGAGACGAGCCTTGCCTCAGGCCGGGCTCGGGGACTAGAACAACTCCCAGAACCCTCTCCAGGCTTGCTCCCAGATGTAAATGATAGGATTATCCAAGATTATCCAGATCTACACGATAGGATAAAACAAGGCAGCACAGAGAGCAGGGAGACTCCAAGCTGGATATTGGGAACTGTGAAGGAACTACGTTGTCGCAGAGACGACTTACTGACGGCTATTTTGAGTCGTCCTAAAGTCAGATGTGTGTGTTATAAGAACTGTGTGTTGGAGGCGACTTTCATCCGGGGTAGCCACAGAATCTCTGAGAAAATCCACAGGAGCCGTGATGATGATTCGAACCTATGCACTGGGTGTTCCCAGGCACGCGCTCTAGTCGGCTACGCCACGACATGGTCAAAACAATTGCAACCTAGAGTACTACTGCACCCACGAAGATCCCGAGGCTTCCACTGAAGCCGAACACAGGTTTCACACACTATTGCTGAAATGGAGTACAGCCGGGAGCCGGTCGGCCGAGCGGACAGCACACTGGACTTGTGATCCTGTGGTCCTGGGTTCGATCCCAGGTGCCGGCGAGAAACAATGGGCAGAGTTTCTTTCACCCTATGCCCCTGTTACCTAGCAGTAAAATAGGTACCTGGGTCAGCTGTCACGGGCTGCTTCCTGGGGGTGGAGGCCTGGTCGAGGACCGGGCCGCGGGGACACTAAAGCCCCGAAATCATCTCAAGATAACCTCAAGATAACAGAGAACATATACGGCACGCATAGACGCGATAAAGAACCTAAATTATTGGGATCGTCTCAAAGCTCTCCAAGTGTACTCACTAGACAGAAGACGAGAGATACCAAATAATATACACGTGGAAAATACTAGAGGGCCAGGTCCCAAATCTACACAGTAAAATAATATATTGGAGTGAATGATAGGAAGAAAGTACAGAATAGAACCAGTGAAGAGCAGAGGTGCCATAGGCACAATCAGAGAACACTGTATAAACATCAGAGGTCCGCGGTTGTTCAACGTCCTCCCAGCGAGCATAAGAAATATTGCCGGAACAACCGTGGACATCTTCAAGAGAGAATTAAATTGATTTTTATTTGATATATACAAGAGTAGTTATATTCTTGTACAGTAACTAGTTCGCGTATAGGCGTTTTTCCTTAATAATTCCGCCCCCCCCAATCTACCTGCCTGAGTGGAACGTGAACAGGAAGAAACCTAATTGAATTACTCAAATGAGATTAGGAGACATTAGAAACTAGTGAATTCAGAAAAAGTTACATCCCCGCTCCTGTGCCAGGTAAGTCCACTACGGGATCACCATAGCAGGTGCTACTTTAAACTTTATTTCCAGTAGCTGAATCTTGAACAAAAAATACACAGCTTCAGTGTGTGTGAGGCAGATGCCATACACAGCTTCAGTGTGTGTGAGGCAGATGCCATACACAGCTTCAGTGTGAGGCAGATGCCATACACAGCTTCAGTGTGTGTGAGGCAGATGCCATACACAGCTTCAGTGTGTGTGAGGCAGATGCCATACACAGCTTCAGTGTGTGTGAGGCAGATGCCATACACAGCTTCAGTGTGTGTGAGGCAGATGCCATACACAGCTTCAGTGTGTGTGAGGCAGATGCCATACACAGCTTCAGTGTGTGTGAGGCAGATGCCATACACAGCTTCAGTGTGTGTGAGGCAGATGCCATACACAGCTTCAGTGTGTGTGAGGCAGATGCCATACACAGCTTCAGTGTGTGTGAGGCAGATGCCATACACAGCTTCATATGAACGTTTGACCGACCAGACAACTCTGGAACAAGTTCATCAGGCGATTGAAGGTTAAGAGGCGAGACTTCGTGCACGCAGCTGGACCGGTGTGGACGCAACTGGACCGGTGTGGACGCAACTGGACCGGTGTGGACGCAACTGGACCGGTGTGGACGCAGCTGGACCGGTGTGCACAGGCACACCAGCATACACAAGAGAATTGTGAACGTAATGAAGTAATTATGTACACACGTTACCCCTAAGCCTACACATCGTGGCTGGTGTACATATAGGCCTGTGTGTTCCGCCTGGGAACGTACACAGGTCGACCAGTGAGTGTACACGAACAGCCGCGAGCGTGACCGGCATGGCGCCAAAATGTCGGCGCGCTCAGTGTGAAGTTGTAGGGAGGAACCTCCCGCTCTTGCCCGCCCACGCCCACACCACGCCCACACCACGCCCACGCCACGCCCACGCCACGCCCACACCACGCCCACACCACGCCCACGCCACGCCCACACCACGCCCACGCTTAACATGGGCTGATGGGGGTACAGCTCCGTTGCCCCCTCTAAAAGGAGGGCGGCTCCTATGGCGACCCTCATGAAATTGGTGGAGTGAAGACCCGTAGAGTAAGTAGATTCTGATCATTGCTGTCTACCTTGTAATGTAGATATATATATAATAGAGCAAGCACTGTTATAGGCGATCCCAAGTCAGCCCGACATGGACAGCAAGAAGTACCGGAGCAACCAGGCTGTAGTGGATGTGTGTGGCTGCCTGCGGGCCGCTGCAAGCAACAGTATCACACACAAAGTTTTTAACAATTAACTCAAGTACAAGAAATGTCTTACAAGAGTACACCTCCATCCACAACTTGAGCGCCGGATTTGACAATGAATTGAGCCTCAGAATAGTTGAAAATAGTTGCAATAGTTACAACAAGGGTAGTCGGGTGGGTAGTAGGTTAAAGTAGGTACTGGGGGCACCGACGGCTTCCCGACACATAGTCTCTAATGTTTCAAGAACCGTTTGTACAGCTCTAGGTAGTTTCGAACCTGTGTGGATCTTTGTCTTGAACATTTTTTTTTTTGTATTCCACTGCAACTAGTCCAAGGTTACGTCTGTGTTGAGTGCACAATTTTGACTTTAAAAGTGTAGGTTAGATTATATAATATAGAAGCAGCCTCGTATTAGTCAATAGGTCTTCTGCAGGTAACTTTTCTTGTCTCCATCTCCCCCCCCCCTACCCCATACACGCACACGCACGGGCTTGAGTACACATGCGTATTACGTACTAAAACACAGGTTTAACGAAAGTGGTGTAGAGGTCTGGCAAGGAGTCCTTAGCTTGGGTTATAAAGGTGTTAAACCATGCTTTTATATATTTTATATATATATATATATATGTCGTACCTAGTAGCCAGAACTCACTTTTTGGCCTACTATGCAAGGCCCGATTTGCCTAATAAGCCAAGTTTTCATGAATTAATATATTTTCTCTAATTTTTTTCTTATGAAATGATAAAGCTACCCATTTCATTATGTATGAGGTCAATTTTTTTTTATTGGAGTTAAAATTAACGTAGATATATGACCGAACCTAACCAACCCTACCTAACCTAACCTAACCTATATTTATAGGTTAGGTTAGGTTAGGTAGCCGAAAAAGTTAGGTTAGGTTAGGTAGGTTAGGTAGTCGAAAAACAATTAATTCATGAAAACTTGGCTTATTAGGCAAAACGGGCCTTGAATAGTAGGCTGAGAAGTACGTTCTGGCTACTAGGTACGACATTATATATATATATATATATATATATATATATATATATATATATATATATATATATATATAATATACAACCTTAGAACACTTCCCCACCAGGAGATTCGAACCCTAGCCAGCACAGAGTTTTCCCATATTAACAGGAATTTGATGAAAGAACGTGAGTAGCCTACACTATGCTCTAGTTGCCCTTGGGAGGTGGTGATCTTTGGGGGATTTAAATACTCCGAAATTACCATCTCTTTTAAGGGTCTGAGCTGTGGTGCAGTGGGTTAAAGGCGTACCAGTTATGCCAGTTGCTGTAAGGCTTCTGTGCTGGCTAGGGTTCAAATCTCCTGGTGGGAAAGTGTTCTAAGGTTGTATAACTTCTCTTGCGTGTTTAGGCAAGTTGTGCATATATATATATTATGCACAACTTGCCTAAACTTGCCTATTATATATATATATATATATATATATATATATATATATATATATATATATATATATATATATATATATATATAATATATTAATATTAGACGAATATTATTATATTAATATATTAATATGTATCTTGATTAGAATGATAATGTGCTGATAATAGTGGTAAACACATTGTTGTTTTAAGATTCGCTACTTAGAACAAAAAGTTCCAAGTAGCACGGGCTATGGTGAGCCCGTAGTGGACTTGTATGTAAACACAGCTGTAAACTAACTGACGTACGACTCTTCCCTTGCAGCGTGGTGGAGGCGTGTCGCTGGACACAACAGCCCAGAATGGTCTCCTAGTGCGGATGTTGGGTAAGTAACGGTCTGTCTCTGTCTATGTCTGTCTCTATGTCTATGTCTGTCTCTGTCTGTGTCTCTGTCTGTGTCTCTGTCTGTGTCTCTGTCTGTGTCTCTGTCTGTGTCTCTGTCTGTGTCTCTGTCTGTGTCTCTGTCTGTGTCTCTGTCTGTGTCTGTGTCTCTGTCTGTGTCTCTGTCTGTGTCTCTGTCTGTGGCTCTGTCTGTGGCTCTGTCTGTGGCTCTGTCTGTGGCTCTGTCTGTGGCTCTGTCTGTGGCTCTGTCTGTGGCTCTGTCTGTGGCTCTGTCTGTGGCTCTGTCTGTGTCTCTGTCTGTGTCTCTGTCTGTGTCTCTGTCTGTGTCTCTGTCTGTGTCTCTGTCTATGTCTCTGTCTATGTCTCTGTCTGTCTGAGATGGGGGGAGGGGTTACGCGTTTGTGCCCAAATGTGTCCACCAAGATGAGCTTTCAGCGTCAAACTAGACTCCTGAGCCCTTTACCTTGCGTTGATTTCTGAGCTTCCCCACCGCGGCGGCCCGGTCTCTGACGAAGCCTCCTGGTTGATGGTTTGGTCAACCAGGCTGTTTGCGAACGGGCTTCCTCTCACTTTTAATGGGAGGTGGTGGTAGTGAACGAGAGGGGGGTTGTTAACTGCTGCAGCCTAACAAAGCAATACTGCTGCCACCACCCTCAGTTTTGACTTCGTTTCTATGTACTAAGATGATCAATAATCTATGATTATAGATATAAGATATGTACTAAGATATGCACATATAAGATATACGGAACAAGGACCTGGAGGGAGGCAAGGTGGGTTTAGATCTTAATGATCCTACTGGGTAGTTGTGGACACGGCTATAGTATCCTGGTCCTTATCTCAAATAACCCCAAAATCTAATTAGTATTCACTCTATAAGGAATGAGAGGAGGTGGGGGGGGGGATTACATGTTAGAAGTACACTCTGGATACTTGGGTATTGACATCAAATGATTCTGGAAGGAATAACTTGACAATTAAGGATACGCGGTGGGCGGCCCAATACTGTATCGCCAACCCGTTCTCGCAAATTTAATAAGTCAATATTGACTTATTAGTTGCGTGCATAGGTGACATACTAAACATAATAGTTTCCCTTGAAAAGCTTCCTAGAAAACACCGACCTTACCTAACCTACTTAGTATGTTAAAATAAGCATCTTATAGCTTCGTAATTACAATTGTTACTTAACCTATTATAGGTATAGGTTAAGTAATAATTGTAATTACGAAGCAATAAGATGCTTATCTTAACATACTAAGTAGGTTAGGTAAGGTCGGTGTTTTCTATGAAGCTTTTCAAGGGAAACTATTATGTTAAGTATGTCACCTATGCACATACTTAATAAGTCAATATTGACTTATTAAATTTGCGAGAACGGGTTGGTATCGCACATTACGGGTTATTCATGCCCGTGACATGAATACGTGTGTGGGTGGGGGGGGGATGGTAGTTAGTAACAGTTGCTTGACAGTTGAGAGGCGGGCCGAAGGGCAGAGCTCAACTCCCGCAAGCACAACTAGGTTAATACACACACACTCTCTTTTTCTTTTGTCCCTGTCTGCCTTCCCCCTCCCCCCCTCTCTCCCCTTACCTCTGCCCCCCCCCCCTCTCTCTCCCCTTACCTCTGCCCCCCCTCTCTCTCCCCCTTACCTCTGTCCCTCTCTCTCTCTCTCTCCCCCTTACCTCTGTCCCTCTCTCTCTCTCTCTCCCCCTTACCTCTGTCCCTCTCTCTCTCTCCCCCTTACCTCTGTCCCTCTCTCTCTCTCCCTTACCTCTGTCCCTCTCTCTCTCTCCCTTACCTCTGTCCCTCTCTCTCTCTCCCTTACCTCTGTCTCTCCCCCTCTCCCTCCCCCCCCCTCTCCCTCACCACTATGTATCACGCGTGTCTGTGTAACAAACGCTGGTACACATCACTTCCATGAATTTCCATTAATATTATCAAATTCAATATTTTATTATAAATAAAGATTCGATACGTCTTTCACTAACAGATTTACACGACAATTTTGATTAATTCGTACAACCACTTGAATGATTACAATCTCTTAAACGAACAAATCATTCACTTGACTAATTCATACAAAATTGTGTAAATCTGTTGGAGATATTATTCAAAATCTTCATTTATTAGTAGTAAATTAGATATTAAAGTCCAGGAGTTTATAAATGTTTTTAATTGGTAAGATTGTGATGGCTATACATGTATGAAAAATATAGGTACATGTTGCCCCCTATTCCCAAAAGTATGGTTATGTGCAAGTTATGCCACTTGGACGGTCGGGGATTGAACCCAGATCTGCATGAAGCGAGACTGTCGCTCTACCGTCAGTTCCCAGGACGAGGCCCTTCAGGCTGATCTGTTATAACACAAGCCAGAGGACGAGTGGCGCCGTGTCTGGAGGCTTGTACCTATGCACCTATGATGAAGTCTTGCCCTCAGAGGTCAAGCACTGAGACGGGACCTGGGAGGCGTAAACACAGGCATGACACGGGTTCGAGCGTGTCCGGAACGGTGTCGAAAGTGCCTCACCTTCAAGCGATCGATAGAGATGTGGTTCGTGCCCGCCCGAGCGATCACTGTGATGAGTTCCTCACTCGGAGGCTGTGATGGTCGTTGGACGATTTGTACCCGGATGACGACGTGCTGGGCGCGTGAAGGGCACACATTCCCTGGCCTGGTGCTGGTGACGGTGAGGTGACCTTCGGTACACAAGTCCTCCCTAAGTTTCACCGTGAAGGTTGACGGTCTGGCGTGGACCCGAAGGAGTCCAGCAGCTGGGACTTTACCTCCTTGATGAATTGTCTAATCGCCAACTTCCTAGCACAGCGGCACAAAAGCTTCTCTTTGGTAGTGTGGCGCTGTATTAAGCTCGCTTCTGCGTCCATCGTCAGTCGAACAAAATACAAATGGCCACGCGAAAACCTTACTGTACCATTTCCCGCCAACCTTCCGCAGGTTTGACGTACTTAAAGTCGCCATTGAGTCTCTTGTCTTCCTGCAGTGGCCTTCCACTTACAGCTTCGCCTGTCTATCCAGACAGTGATGGTCCATCCCAGCACTAGCCAAGCACTCTACTATCCACTCCCCACAAGAAAGAGGTGAGATGGCATCTGTCTACTATCTCGGCCTTTAAACTACTAATTTCACCAGGAGAATGCCGAGTCAAGATCAAATTAATAGTACAAGATGAACACACCGGCAGACTGCGAAGGGAATCTAAACTCCAAACAGCATTTCTAAAAGTCGTCAAAATAAGAGAACTTGGCAAATGGCTGAAAACGAAGGTATATCACGGAGATGTGTACTCAGAGGTGTAATACACTTGTGTGTGTACACTTGAGAATATATTGTTATGGACCACAGTATACTAAGTTTTTTTGCCTTTGCCTTATTTCCTCCTTTATGGAGTGGTGCTATATCTGCTGTTTATACTATGTCGGGGATAACGGCAGTGGATATCTTCAAGAGAAAACTAGATAGTTTTCTTAAGTGCCGGACCAACCGGGCTGTGGTGGATATGTGGGCCTGCGGGCCGCTCCAAGCAACAGCCTGGTGGACCAAACTCTCACAAGTCAAGCCTGGCCTCGGGCTTGGAGTAGAACCACTCCCAGAACCCCATCAAGCAGGTATATCTGCTGGTTGATCATTAAACTTTTATGATAGTCTTGATAACCCTCCAGAGGTTGATAGGCCTTAAGCCAAACATCAAGCCTATCACGTGATTTTGACATCGGTATTAGGAAATTTTTACAATAAAAAAATCCAGCCTAACGAATTAGAATTTACAGACTACATAATATATATATATATATATATATATATATATATATATATATATATATATATATATATATATATTATATATGTCGTACCTAGTAGCCAGAACTCACTTCTCAGCCTACTATGCAAGGCCAAATTTGCCTAGTAAGCCAAGTTTTCATGAATTAATTGTTTTTCGACTACCTAACCTACCTAACCTAACCTAACTTTTTCGGCTACCTAACCAAACCTAACCTATAAAGATAGGTTAGTTAGGTTGGTAGGGTTGGTTAGGTTCGGTCATATATCTACGTTAATTTTAACTCCAATAAAAAAATTGACCTCATACATAATGAAATGGGTAGCTTTATCATTTCATAAGAAAAAAATTAGAAAAAATATATTAATTCAGGAAAACTTGGCTTATTAGGCAAATCGGCCTTGAATAGTAGGCCAAAAAGTGAGTTCTGGCTACTAGGTACGACATATATATATATATATATATATATATATATATATATATATATATATATATATATATATATATATATATATATATATATATATATGTCGTACTTAGTAGCCAGAACTCACTTCTCAGCCTACTATTCAAGGCCCGATTTGCCTAATAAGCCAAGTTTTCCTGAATTAATGTATTTACTATAATTTTTTTCTTATGAAATGATAAAGCTACCCTTTTCACTATGTATGAGGTCAATTTTTTTTTATTGGAGTTAAAATTAACGTAGATATATGACCGAACCTAACCAACCCTACCTAACCTAACCTAACCTATATATATAGGTAAGGTTAGGTTAGGTAGCCAAAAAAAGCTAGGTTAGGTTAGGTTAAGTAGGTTAGGTAGACGAAAAAACATTAATTCATGAAAACTTGGCTTATTAGGCAAATCGGGCCTTGCATAGTAGGCTGAGAAGTGAGTTCTGGCTACTAGGTACGACATATATATATATATATATATATATATATATATATATGTCGTACCTAGTAGCCAGAACTCACTTCTCAGCCTACTATGCAAGGCCCGATTTGCCTAATAACCTAGTTTTCATGAATTAATGTTTTTTCGACAACCTAACCTACCTAACCTAACCTAACCTAACGTTTTCGGCTACCTAACCTAACCTAACCTATAAAGATAGGTTAGGTTAGGTTTAGGTAGGTTGTTTAGGTTCGGTCATATATCTACGTTAATTTTAACT